ACCAACACCCCCAGGTCCTTTTCCACCAGGCAGCTCTCCAGCCGCTCCTCCCCACGCCTGCAGCGGTGCCTGGGGTTGTTGTGACCCCAGTGCAGGACCCGGCCCTGAGCCTTGTTGAACCTCATGCAGTTGGCCCTGGCCCCTCATCCAGACCATCAGTGAAGATGTTGAACAGGACCAGCCCCAACACTGAGCCCTGGGGAACAGCACTGGTGACCGGCCACCAACTGGATTTGACTCCATTCACCACCACTCCCTGGGCTCGGCCGTCCAGCCAGCTTTTAACCCAGCGTAGAGTGCACCCATCCAAGCCGTGAGCAGCCAGCTTCTCCAGGAGAATGATGTGGGAGACAGGTTCAGAAGAGGTCTAGCGACTGCAGCCCACGTCCTGCTCTCCTGCTCGCCATCCCTCCACAAGCTGGAGGCAGCAGCACGGCAGCCAGGTGAGGGGCAGGAGCCCTGGCAGGTAATTTGGTGACTTGGGCTGGCAAACAGGATTTTCCCTCCCTCGTGAGCAGGAGCTGAGCGTCCATATGAAGGCAGGTCACCCCCGGAGTGCAAACCTGCTGTTGCTCAGCCAGCACACTGCCACCTCCAGCCAGGAACACGGGACTTAAGACTTATGTTGCTTCAAAGGCGAGAGGCTGAGGTGTACCGTGGACTCTGCTCACGGTTTGCCACGCTGCAGCACACGTGCCTGGCTACATGGAATACCCCAGCCCGCTGCTCTGTGCCGACAGCAGGGCTACGATTTAGTCCCTTTCAGCTCCCGGGGCTCATTCTGCCTCCACATCTCTCCAAAAACAGGAGAGACAGGCTCAGGCAAGGGTAAGGACAGAGGTGCGTACGCTGGGATTCATCCCACGCAGCCATCTGACTGAAGTACTTTCAAGTTGTGAACTTAATTGCCCTCAGCCTCATCCAGAATAAGTGGAGAGGTGTAAGATGCCCTGGAGCAATTCAGATCCTAGAGATGCTGAACTGCCTTCTGGAGCTGCCCATCCCTCCCCGCTGCCTGCCGGGTTCCTGTGCTAGTACAGGCAGCTCGTGGTGGCTCCGCTTCAGCTTGTCTGACCCGAGGCGTTTCTCCGTGTCAGGTGCTTTCAGAATCCACAGTTACTAATAAACAGGCCTCCCACCTAGGCAGTGAGTCCTATCCCTCCATTTCAGCCCAGACAGCTCTCGTGCCTTCCCCACATGGAGCATCTTCCTCGCTACTGACCTCTGTTGGGTCTCCAGATCTTCTCCATGCCGTGCCGCATGAGGACGATACGGGACAACTCCGTGAAGGACTCTATGACGTTGAAGTTGCACAGGGGGCTGACCTCAAAAAACGTCATGCAGTTCTTCTCCGCATAAGCCCGGGCCTGCTCCGTTGGCACCTGCCGCTTGAAGGCGAGGTGAAGCCTGTTTCCCACCAGGATCCGAGGGACACCTGGGGCATGCTTAAAAAAGGAAAGAAGTGGAGAAATCACAGCTTGTCCTTCGTAAGGGCAGCCTACAACCCGTATTCTGCTTAGCTGCAATAGCAGTGAAGGGCAAAGAAACAGAAGCTGCTCTGTGACCAAGAGGGACTGCCAAAACCAGTACTACATGCTGAGGAAGACTAATTTATCCCCTCTACAGTCCATTTTAGAGGGAACCTTCTTAGAGGGAACCTTCCTGTCTTTCTTGGCCATTCCCAAGCCCTTTCCTATTATTCCAGATTTATACAATCATGGAGAGCAGATGCTTATCCCCTTACTTTGCTTATTAGCAGACTGCCATCATTTCCTCTCCCTAGCAGAGCCATTCTTGTCCCTGTATCAGAGGTGGCACCTCAGGTGGCATCTCCACAGATTTTCGCTATAGACCACTACACGTGTTCTTCATTCAACTTACCTCATCTGTCTCCTTTATTCAGTGAGACAAAATTGAGACAACAGGTCTGTACTAACTCAGTCCTAGACTATTAGGGAAGTTCTAGACTATTAGGGAATGTCCTAGACTATTAGGGAATGTTCTTCCATTCAACTTACCTCATCTATCTCCTTTATCCATCGGTCTATCCCATCGAAGGACCAGCGATTAGTGATGTCGTACACCAAGAGAATTCCCTGGTGGAAGAAAATCAGGAGCAATCAGGCAGTTCCAGAGTAGGCAAACTGCAAGGGAGACACACCTGGAAGATCACCTCCATACGCAGAAAGCAAAAGGCTAAGGGGCAAAACATTGCTCCAGCTTGCTTGCTAGGGCAAAAATTGAGACAACAGGTCTGTACTAACTCAGTCCTACACTATTAGGGAAGGTTTGACTCCTGTTTTTGCTTGAACATCCCCTAAATAATTTCCAAAGCAGTCTCTACAACGGAGGAGGAACTGCCTTGGTGACTGCACCTGGAGCAGCGAGGCTGCACAAACACACCTTGCTGCCTTCACAAACCTGCTACAAACTCACTGAGGCAGAAACAATCTTTTTCTTTTCCTCTTACGCAGAACAGCCGCATTCAGTGGTAGGATGGTAGCAGAACATGATGAAGTTAATAAAGCACACCCATCTTCAGCATGTTTTCCCTCCCCAGAACCTGTCTCATTCTGCTGTCCCTCTGCTGGCAGGGAAGAAGTTGCGCGATGCCAATAAGTAACACGGCGTCTCTAGAGGACAGATCTCAAGACCAGGATCCACGCTGGGCTTTGCTGAAGGCAGCTGGCGTTGCTAATTGTCACTGCCGCACCGACAGAGAACACACACAGCATAGCGATGCTGGCGAAGCCCAGAGGGTCAGATCAAAGGTCCTGCTGGAGGACCTTTCCCCCTGCCCTTTCTTCTGGAAAGAGAGGTACCTACGGCACCCTCAGGCCCACATCCATCTTCCCTAAGCGCCATCCACATCCGCAACTCGCTTCCCAGTCACCTCTCAAGCTGCAGCACAATGATGCTGGCAACCAGGCCAGGCACAACTCAAGCGGGGAAGTTTGCGTCTGCAGCTGTGACAACACGGAGCGGCACCTCCGAGGGTCTCTACCCTCGCCCCAAGCCCGGATAGCAGGGCTCGGGACCACGACCAAACTGCTAGCCACCACTCAGGTCCAAGGCAACTCTTAACAAGTGAGCTTTTCTTGAATCAAAGTATTTCTGAGGACAGACACAAGGAAAGTAGGCTACGCACGGCCCCGCAGGCACACGAGTCAATGCATCAAGAGCTGCCTCTCCGTACCAGTTGGGCACATGCAGCATTTAGACAATCATAGAATCGCTAAGGTTGGAAAAGACCCTTAAGATCATCGAGTCCAACCGTCAACCTATCACTGCCAAGTCCATCTATACCATGTCCTTGAGCATCACACCTTTCCGTTCCTTAAATACCTCCAGGGATGGGGACTCAGCCCCTGCCCTGGGCCAGGGCCTGGCAGCCCTTTGGGGGAAGAAGTTTTTCCCAATACCCAACCCAAACCTGCCCTGGCGCAGCTTGAGGCCGTTCCCTCTGGTCCCATC